CCTGCGGGGCACCCCGATGCCCCAGCTTCGCACCGCTGCTTCTCCACTGCAGACCCCCGCTTCTCCTCTGGAGACCCTCTCAGTTCCCTGCTGCAGACCCTCCGTTTCCCCGCCAAGAGCCCCTGGCAACCCCAGCGCAGAGCCCCAGCTTCCCTGCTGCAGACCCTTCCGGTTCCCCACCAGACACCCCAGCACCCTCAGTGCAGACGTCCAGTCCCTCGCCAGACCTCCCCGATGACCCCGTTTCAGAACCCCGGTTGCTTGCTGCAGATCCCGGTTACCCAGCAGATCCCCTGGTTCCTGCTGGGGCTGAGCAGCTGGGGGTGGGAAGGGGAGACCCCCCAAGTCCAGCCCAGCTGGGTGCCGGTGGGGGATGCAGAGCAGCCGCTGCCAGGGCAGAGGACAGAGCCCCTGGTGAAGCTCTCCGGGGCTGCTCGCCACCAAGGCAGCTGCCTCAGTGCAGCAGGAGGACGTCTTTAGCCATGCAAGGGGGCAGCCAGGGCTTGGGGTGGGAAAGGAAAAATAACCCCCAGTTAGAAGGTTCCCCTGCAAGCTCCCCCAAAGACCTTTCCAGTGTGAGCAGCATCCTCGCGGCACCCTCACTGAGGCCAGCACAGCGTGCTGGACCAGCGGGAAGGGAAGGGAAGGGAAGGTGGGGTGGTGCTCGGATGAGTTCATCCCCTGCCACGGCCAGGACAGCAGTCTCTTCCCCACACCAGGTAGATGTCAACGCTTTTCTGCTCCGCTTTATTTTGTAGACTCAGCTGCTGTGTAGCAGCTGTCAGACTGGGCTCTTTACAAAGCTGGGGCTCCCCTTCTCCTCTGCAATCCAGCGTGTCTCTAATTTGGGCACAAAGGTGTCTTAGAGGGACAGATTGTTGAGCCCCCAAAAGCCAAATAATAATTGTGGTCTCTCTCTCCCTTCTCCCCAAAGGAACTGGCCAAGTACTTTTTGGCAGAACTGCTCTCAGAGCCAAGCCAGACAGAAAATGAAGCCCTGGAGTCTGAGGACTTGTCCCGAGGGGCTGAGCAGGATGAAGTGAGACTGGAGCTGGAGCGCTCGGCTAACTCTAACCCCGCTCTGGCACCCCGGGAACGCAAAGCAGGATGCAAGAACTTCTTCTGGAAAACTTTCACATCTTGTTAGCTTTTGAAACCCACCTCTCCTCCCCATCCATCCCTGCCTTCTTCCTAGCCCTCCCCCCCCAAGCAGAACCTTCACCACAAAGAGGCGAAGACTGTAAATATACAATCCACGGTTATGGTGAAATTAAACAAACAAGGAAAATTTGAGTTTGATTTCCAGTTGTTTTAATAAAACTTTCTGTTCCAATTGTACACGATTTGCTTGAGTTGTGATTTCTGACTAGTTCTTTAATGACATGCACTCTGCAACTCTTTCGGATGTACTATTTTTAATTCTTTGTTGCAATAAAATTTATGTTTCAAACGGTGATGCTGAGACTTGGTGGTCAATGAGAAAACCTGTCACCTCTCTCAGACTGCTTGTCTTTGCAATACTGCTCGACTCAGAGCAGCAGGAGCAAACAGCATCCACATGCACACATATGCACACACACAGAGTATCTCTTAAAGCGATTTTTTTTTGCTGTGGTGTTTCTAAGGGACCTAGAGACACAGTGGTATTTTAGATATCAAAGCCCTGTAATTGTGACTGAGTCAAATCCACGGTGCTGGCACTTCAGTCTAGAGGATTTACACCCATCACCAAAGACATCATATAAATCACGGCTGTGTATTCTAAGCGATGGAGCATCATAAAAGTGGTTCACAGTACAAGCTTACCTCACCCATACCTCATCCCCTCAGCCACAAACACTAAAAGGTTTTCTCACCTGGCATATTTTACTCCTTGCAACATCCCTGACAAACACTGCTTCTGGGATTCCTTCGGAAAGTTTTCCTTTGTTCTGCTGCGCAGGGGGACGTTTCACATCCCTATAAAGCTGAGATGTTAACCCCATGCCACCAGCCCCTCTGCAGCTAATAAACCCACTACAGCAGTTTTGCTACCCACTACATCATCATTAAAGGCAACATTAAAAGGTTCAGTAGGGTAGAAGATAGATAGCATTGGGAAAAAGACATACTTCTCTCAAGGGAAGAGAAATTCTTTGTGCTTTTGCAGAGTCTCTTCCCTTTCTGGCCGTGCTGGTTTGTGACATGCAATCACGGGTGCATTGGAGCCGTGGAGTGTGCATCCTGCACGGGGGATGGGTGTCACTTCGACCAGAAATTCATCATTCAGGACTAGAGGTAGCAAATATTTTGTAGCCATCGTATGTGAAGGAAAGGTGAAAAATGGGGAATCTTAGAGACATTCATGGGCGGAAGGCTGAGCATGACCCCCGTGGGAGTGGGTTCCCCAGCTGAGCGCATGTGAAGTCGCCTCGGGTCTGTGCGGAGCTTGGCTCTGTGGGGCATCGTTCCTGATGGCCTGTGGGCCAGTGCCTTTGCTCTTGGTCTGCGCCTCCTTTCCCCGTGGGCAGCGGTTTGTTAGATTCGAGCTGCGGACAGGTGAATCCCTTGTCATTGGGAACTATAGCAGTGCCGGTGTGAAATCCCAGCCCCGCCGCGCTCGCTCACCGCAGGGCTCGCACGGGCTGCTCCACG